TCCAGAAAAAGCAGATATTCGCGGCGTTGACACGATGAATGCGAAGAAAAAAATGATTCCAGCATAACTCGAACTCCGGAATTCAGCGTGGCAACCAAAAATTCTGCAACAGAGTCACCCCAGGTCTTGGAACTGCTTTTAAAATACACGGTTTTATTTATTAAGTATCAATTAGGATGCAGTGATGGCTGTTCAATTTTTCAAACATTAAACGTGTATTCTTACAATGCAGCCGGCACGTAGGGTTGAGAACAACTGTAGTTGAGGGCATAGCACTGAATTTGATCGACAGTTTTTATCAACAAAGTAACGGCGTGAACAGACATTGGTGATTTCAAATCAATAGCGTTGAGAAAATCAGTCCATCTCTATGAAGTGAATGACTATGAGTGGACAACGCTATAGGTGTTAAGGTCTCTAATGTCGACGTTGAAGTCGCCCATTGTTATATTGGTGAGACCGATATACTGAACGACGCACGGATGCATTCATGCACGGACGATGTATGCACAGACCAACGAACTTGTGGATCTACGAACCTACGAACAGACGCATGGATAGACAGACGAGCAGATGGATGGACACGCGGATGGATGAACGGTAGGACTGATGCATGGACGCATGAATAGACGGATGACGTGGGCGGTTATGCATGGTGCTGTCGTATAGTTGATTACGCATAAAGTCAGTAAAGGGCCGCCTTCCTCGCTGGCACAAGCGCTACCTATAAGCTTACCAGTTCTGTTGTTGCTAATACCCATGTTGCTGTGGGCATCGTTACGCAACCCTAAACATGTGACTGTTTGTGCATGTTTGTGCTTAAAACTTTTGAACATATATTTAGCTTCATTTAATGATGTTTTGCTTAATAAAAAATTACAACATGGTCATCTTTCTTCCTCATGCATTCGCAGAACATCGATTCCTATGGTACGTGGGATCTGCTGAATTTTATGTTATTCGCCCCCCTTGCTCTTCAGGGAAAAATCACACGGCAGGGTCTTGCTTCTACCCCCGTATCTCGAGTTTGGCATTTTTACAACCAATATTTTCTGGTGGTTATGGCTCTACAATATGTCAAACGGATGGTTTTTATTCCACTAACACTATATGCAATGACGCCCATGTAAAGGGTTACTTTTTCATATGCAGTTCGCACTGCGAGTACCACATGTTCAATTTGTCTATGTATACCAGCATTCTGCAGTCATGAGTGTTTAGCAAAGTTATTGATTTTAAAAGCCACATTGGGTTGGACACTTGAACTCCCCCAAAGTTTACTCGGTCAGGGAGCTCGCGCCATCCACAGTTTATTATCAAATAAACTGTTCCACAGTTTATCTGATCTAAACGTACTTTGGCTTGGGCGAACAAGCTGGTACATAAGTGAATGGGCTTCAGCACAATTTCATCATCATCATCATCATCATCAGCCTGACTACGTCCACTGCAGGACAAAGGCCTCTCCCATGTTCCGCCAGTTAACCCGGTCCTGTGCTTGCTGCTGCCAATTTATACCCGCAAACTTCTTAATCTCATCTGCCCACCTAACCTTCTGTCTCCCCCTAACCCGCTTCCCTTCTCTGGGAATCCAGTCAGTTACCCTTAATGACCAGCGGTTATCCTGTCTACGCGCTACATGCCCTGCCCATGTCCATTTCTTCTTCTTGATTTCAGCTATGATATCCTTAACCCCCGTTTGTTCCCTAATCCACTCTGCTCTCTTCCTGTCTCTTAAGGTTACACCTACCATTTTTCTTTCCATTGCTCGCTGCGTCGTCCTCAATTTAAGCTGAACCCTCTTTGTAAGTCTCCAGGTTTCTGCTCCGTAGCTAAGTACCGGCAAGATACAGCTGTTATATACCTTCCTCTTGAGGGATAGTGGCAAACTACCTGTCATAATTTGAAAGTGCACGCCAAATGTGCTCCACCCCATTCTTATTCTTCTAGTTACTTCAGTCTCGTGGTTCGGCTCTGCGGTTATTACCTGCCCTAAGTAGACATAGTCTTTTACAACTTCAAGTGCACTATTACCTATCTCGAAGCGCTGCTCCTTGCCGAGGTTGTTGTACATTACTTTCGTTTTCTGCAGATTAATTTTAAGACCCACCTTTTTGCTCTCCTTGTCTAGCTCCGTAATCATGAGTTGCAATTCGTCCCCCGAGTTACTCAGCAATGCAATGTCATCGGCGAAGCGCAGGTTACTAAGGTATTCTCCATTGACTCTTATCCCTAACTGTTCCCATTCTAGGCTTCTGAAAACCTCCTGTAAGCACGCGGTAAATAGCATTGGGGAAATTGTGTCTCCCTGCCTTACACCCTTCTTGATTGGTATTCTGTTGCCTTCTTTATGAAGCACTATGGTAGCAGTTTATCCCCTGTAGATTTCTTCCAGAATGTTTATATATACCTCATCTACGCCCTGATTCCGCAGTGTTTGCATGACGGCTGATATTTCTACTGAATCAAACGCTTTCTCGTAATCTATGAAGGCTATGTATAGGGGTTGGTTATACTCTGAGCATTTCTCTATTACCTGATTGATAGTATGAATGTGGTCAATTGTTGAGTAGCCTGTTCGAAATCCTGCTTGTTCCTTTGGTTGATTGAATTCTAATGTTTTCTTTACTCTGTTAGCAATTACCTTTGTAAATAGTTTGTATACTACAGAGAGCAAGCTCATCGGCCTGTAATTCTTCAAGTCCTTGTCATCTCCTTTCTTATGTATTAAGATGATGTTAGCGTTCTTCCATGACTCTGGTACTCTTCCCGTCAGGAGACACCTCGTAAACAGAGTGGCTAGTTTTTCTAACACAATCTGTCCTCCATCTTTCAGCAGATCTGATGTTACCTGATCCTCACCAGCAGCTTTGCCCCTTTGCATGCTCTCCAAAGCTTTCCTGACTTCTTCTATCATTACTGGTGGGGTGTAATCTGGGTTACTGCTAGTTCTTATAGTATTAAGGCCGTGGTTGTCACGGCTATTGTACAGATCTCTGTAAAACTCCTCTGCTATTTTAACTATCCTATCCGTATTGGTAGTTATTTTGCCTTCTTTGTCCCTTAGTGCATGCATCCGACTTTTGCCTATCCCAAGTTTCCTCTTTAATGCTTTGACACTTCCTCCGTTTTTCAGAGCGTGTTCAATTCTCTCCATGTTATACCTTCTTACATCGCATACCTTACGTCTATTAATCAACTTCGAAAGCTCTGCCAGTTCTATTTTGTCTGCTATACTTGACACTTTCATGATTTGACGCTTCTTAGTTAGGTTCTTCGTTTCCTGGGAAAGCTTGCCAGTGTCTTGTCTAACTACCCTGCCTCCAACTTCCACTGCACACTCCGTAATGATACTCGTTAGATTATCATTCATTGTATCTACGCTAAGGTTCGTTTCCTCACTAAGAGCCGAGTACCTGTTCTGCAGCGACACTCTAAATTCCTGTACTTTCCCTCTCAGTGCTAGCTGATTGATTGGCTTCTTGCGTATCAGTTTCTGTCGTTCCTTCTTCAAGTCTACGCGAATTCGAGACCGTACTATTCTATGGTCACTGCATCGTACCTTGCCAACCACTTCCACATCCTGCACGATTCCAGGTTGTGCACTCATTATAAAGTCTATTTCGTTTTTATTTTAGCCATTAGGGCTCCTCCATGTCCACTTGCGGTTTTCTCGTTTTCGGTAGAAGGTATTCAAAATCCGTAAATTATTGCGTTCTGCGAATTCTACTAGTAGCTCTCCTCTGGCGTTTCTAGTACCGATGCCATAATCTCCTACTGCCTGGTCTCCAGCCTGCTTCTTCCCTACCTTTGCATTAAAGTCGCCCATCACTATAGTATGCTGTGTTTTTACCTTACTCATTGCCGATTCCACGTCTTCATAGAAGCTTTCAACTGAAGCGTCATCATGGCTGGATGTAGGCGCGTAAGCCTGTACTACCTTCATCTTGTATCTTTTATTCAGTTTAATTACGATACCTACCACCCTTTCATTAATGCTATAGTATTCCTCTATGTTGCCAGCTATGTTTCTGTGAATTAGGAACCCCACTCCCAGTTCTCTTCTGCCTGCCAAGCCCCTGTAGCAAAGGACGTGCCCATTCTGTAGCACCGTATAGGCCTCATCTGTCCTCCTAACCTCACTGAGCCCTATTATATCCCATTTAACACCCTCTAGCTCCTCGAATAGTACAGCTAGACTTCCCTCACTAGATAAGGTTCTAGCATTAAACGTTGCCAAGTTCAGGTTCCAATGGCGGCCTGTCCGGATCCAGAGATTCTTAGCACCCTCTGCTGCGTTGCAGATCTGACCGCCGCCATGGTCAGTTGCTTCGCAGCTGCTGGGGACTGAGGGCCGTGAGTTATTTGACGTAAGCATGTGGGAGGTAGTGGCCAGATACTGCACCAGGGTGGCCAATCCTTCTCTGGTGAGGGAGTGCGTTCTCGGCGGTGTTTGCCGGTGAGGCCGCACCCCAGGCCTCTTAATGCAGTTCCATCAACACGCGGATTTTTTTTTAATCCGGTTGGGAACTGCGCGGTACCGGGATTTGAACCACGGACCTCTTGCATGCGAGGCGGATGCTCTAACCACTACGCCATCGCCGCAGCACAATTTAGACGAAGACAATTGGAGACACACAGAACACAGACGAGCGCTGTACGTCCTTTGTTTGTCTCCAATTTTCTTCGTCTAAATTGCGCTGAAACCTATCCAATTCATTTGAGTTGGCCAATATTTATGTAAACTAATATTTATGTCCACTGCAGAAAGAAAAAGACATTGCCCATTCATGTTCATTTACACAGCCTTGTGCATGCTCTGTTCATGTCGTTCCACTAAAATCTAAAACTTCATTGCACCATTTATCGTTTATACTCCCTTGGCTGTTTTTCTAATCGCTTTGTAAGCACTCTGCTAACGAAGCGATCTTTGTGACGATTAGCGGGCAATCAGTTTTAGAAATCTTAATTGGGAAACGCTGCTGAATGTGCAGACTTACCGACAATTGGTGGGCGGAGGAGCAACGCGACTCCAATGCAGAAGTACACCGCTCCCATAACGACAGGCAGCTGCTTGAGTCCAAAGTCTTTGGCGATCACGGGGGCTTGAAGGGCTATCCTAGCACCACACGTGAGACCCATGAGTGCCGAGGCAGTGAGCATCATGTGGAAGGATCCGAACCACGCGAGTAGTTCGAACGCGGCGCCTTGCATGAGATATCCAAGAAGCATCACGGACTCGAGGGAAACAATTTTCGAGTCTATGATTACACCACTGAGAGCTCTGAAGATGATGTCACTGACGGAGAATGCTTGGAGGAGGTAAACAGCACTAGAAGGTTCGATTCCATGGTCACTGGCCAGATCTGTTGACAGGAGGACGTACAACGCCATTCCAAAGTTCACTGCCGTGAAGGACAAAGCGCTCACTAAAAAGCTCAGTGTCTCGAATGGTGCCAGCTCGCTTTTCATACACCTAACAATGTTTCTTCCTTTTCGCTTTCCTGAAGGACGGAAGGTGGCGAACTCGACACTGGCACTAGCGCTTGATTGAGTTTCTTGAACGTCATTTTTCTCCAAGAATACATGCGTTTCGTCGCTGCAATTGACACCATTTTGTTTGCGGAGTTCTTCAGTTCCGGAATTCCAAAACGCAGGCTTGAATGAGCTGTTGGCGGCATCCAACGCTGTCCCATTTTTCTGACTGACTGGTTTCGGTTTGTCTATCCACGGAGGACTTCTCAGGGCAATACAGCACGGTAATGCGTTCATCAGTATGGCGCCGTAGAGCAAGAATGCTTCGTGGATACCGTAACGTGAATAGAAATATTCAATTAGTGGAGGGAAGACAACAGTGTTGAGTCCACCAGCTGTGAACATGAAGCTGCAAGCAGTCGTTCTTCGCTTCTCAAAATGCTGAGCCACGAGCACGTTCGAAGCAACGTAGAGCCCCGATAGTGTGGTTCCTGCGTGTGTAAGATTAACAAATAGCATTTTTTCAAACTCAGGAATTGTGTGCCGCTTGCACTAGTTGCGCAAGGCTAAAACCTAAAGCAGAGCTCGTGTTCAATCCAGCTTCTAAATTTTTTGCTAGTAATGCCAAGCTTTTGCCAGAGACGCGCATTTTTTCCAAGTAGTACTGAGCATGAGTAGGCTTGGCCATTATTTTACCGATTTCAGTCGGTTACCTACACTATACGCACAATCTGTATGGTTGTAACGAATACATGTCAGGCAACTTGCTATTACGTGACATGATTTCAGTGACCAGAGCAGATGTTGATAAGTTTTTGGCGGGAACATGTCAATGTACTAGCTGCGAGAGTTTAGTCACATTGATAGTTGTTAGTTGAAGTTGTGAATTACAGTCATGCGACTAGATTTTACCGGATTTTACGTAATTTTGGTCACGTGACTAGATTTGTTCTTTTTGTCACGAGGTTTATAATCCCCTTCCTAGACAGTCTATTGTTTCATAGTGTTAGTCGCACGACTAGTGATGTGATGCTAAATGGTGCTTAGTCACGTTACTTGATACGGGACGCTACTTTCAGTCACTTGACTAGTTACGTGATGTTACGTGATTTTTGTCGAATAATTTGTCGTTACGGGATGTTACGTGATTCACAGTCGCCTGGTTATTTAGGTAATTTTAGTCACACAAATAGATGCTACGTAATTTTCAGTCATGCATGTGACAAGTTGTTACATGACATTACGTTGTTTCAGCCGTATGACTAGTTACGGGGTGATACCCAATTCTATTTACTTGACTAGATATTACGTGCTGTTAAGAGAGTTTAATGACCGGACTATACGGTACGTGATTTTCATCACCTGACTAGTTGCGTGTGTTACGAAGGCTTTTAGTCATGGGTTCTGATGTTGCGTGACGTTATGTGAACTTTAGTGACGTGACTAGACGGAACATGCTTTTAGGGACAAGAGATGATACGTGATGTTATTTAGTCACGTGACTAGAGTTGAACGCCTAGGTGACCCTGATAATTTTGCCGCAGCATGGACCACTGATTTGGCCGCAGTCTTTGAGAACTGCTTCAAGCACGCTAGGTTGCCTTGCTAGAAACGGAAGCAGGTGTTTCTCGCTGATCGCTGACCAGCTGCCACTTGCTAAAGCATAGGAGGCGCTTCTTGGTGTTGGTTGAGCTATACCAGACATGTTGGAAGCTCAAGGCCTTTTGTGCACTCCGGATGACCCAATCGGGCAAGAAGTGTATTCTCAGAAAACGAAAGGTGGAAAGCTACAAAAACTATGGCTTCCCCTTTATGAGTGGAACAATGTAGCATTACCATGTCGCTAGTGCCTACTTAAACAACTTATTGCACACTTTGCATTGCATCATATTACTCCAGAACTTCATTTGATTTGTAAGGTTTAACGTCTCAACACCACCATATGATTATGAGAGACGCCGTAGTGGAGGACTCCGGAAATTTTGACCAGCTGGGGTTATTTAACGTGCACCCAAATCTGAGCACACGGGCCTACGACATTTCCGCCTCCATCGGAAATGCAGCCGCCGCAGCCGCGATTTGAACCCCCGACCTGCGGGTCAGCAGCCGAGTACCTTAGTCACTAGACCACCGCGGCTGGGCCTCGAGAACTTCACCTTGTGAATTACTGCAACGTGTTGTCTATAATGGGTTGTGTTAGTACAGCTTTCGTATATGTCGGCATTCTGTGTAAAGTTCGGGTAGCATGCTTTGAATCACGATCAGTTATGTGTGTGAAACGTTTACGAATTTGATATGCAGCCACTCCGTGGTCGTAAGGTATTGTGTGCAATAACTTGCGTGCTTTTTGTAAGAGGCGGCAGGCTTTTAACCATGAAGCCGTTATGATATATACATGTTTTAGCGCCAAATGACAACGCGGGCTTGTACTACGCAATATAAATGCGATAATACATGTTCTACTGTGACACTTGTATAATGGACGTGTGTGTTTGTGAGGTGCTGAAATTACTTTCTCTGAATTTCCAAGCAGAGAAACCTCTTAGCTTTAGGTGAATCGAAATTAGTCTGGTAGGGTAAGATGGTGTGAATAATAACACATAGCCGCGGGCGGGTATATGTGCCACAGGTGACAGTGCCTTTATCCACCTCGGAATGGTGAGAACAGCCATCGAAAATCTTATCTCGTGAACTGCGAGCGAAAGCTAGCGCCGAGTCAACCCCACGAATGCCCAAAAAAATGTCATGGCGCAAGCAGGAGTCGAACCCAAGACTTCCGCGCTGCAGTAAATCATTCTATAACAGAGCCACGCCACATCTCGAAATTGCTTATCAAATACACCCTCGTGTTCATGAAATCTCGTTTGTGGTTATGGTGCTCGCTATCCAATTTTCAAAACATCACATATGTATTCCTATGATACAGGCGTCACGTCTACTTAACGTCAATCATAGTTAAGCGCTATCCGCACAAGTTTATTTACGTAGCAGTGTGCAGTGCTACCATACTCGCGAGCACAAGCCCTTCGTTGGCGTCTGTGCGTGCATTTTAGATATATTTAGCGTGACTTCATTACGTTGAACACAATAAGGAAATTACGACACTATCACCATTTATCCGAACGTGCCGAATAAGGTAAGCAAAAAGAGAGGAATGCGCATGAGCAATGGTAGTTTAAACGCCACTGGGAGGGACGCCATGAGAAGAGAGAAGGGGAATTGAGCGTTGGCCAGCAGACGCTGCCCGCGTTGTCGTTGGGAAACGAGAGGAGGGAGCGTATGAGATGATAGAAAGGGAGGGGATGTGCATGCGTTATAAGGGTCGTGTTGCTGCACACCAAATAAACAAATAAAGTGAAACCTCTTCGAGCGCACATTAACAGTATTTATGCTACCATGGGGTTTTTCTGCTAGTAAAAACAAAGTAATGGTCATGCCTCCCTCTCCGATGTAACTTAAGGCGATCCCCCTCCCCCCTGAAAAGAGTGCCGGCATTAGCTCCTGGGCTGTGGCGGGATATACGTAGCGTGAGCTGGTTCAGCTAGCTTTGCTTGCTGTCTAGGATGAGCTTATCATGTTTACTGCTGGACGGATGCAGGGACGCATAATTAACAGGTGTTAAGTGCCTGCTGAGTGAACCTTTGCTTGGTCAGCTGTTGTGTTTCGTGTGGATTGTCTGGCCGTAGGAATATGTGTTTCGTAAACATTTGTGCTGGTTGACGATTTCATTTGTATCAAAGTAATTGGTCTGAGCGTGGGAGTGTTCATCCTGTTTGTACAGTTGGGCCACTTTACGAAAAAAGCCATAATTCAAGAAGAAGAGAGGAACTGGTGCTGCACATACACGCAAACCTCTTCAAGAAAGGTATTCAAAGTGGTGTGAGTAGCAAGATTGAAAAAAACGCAGCAGTAAAATTGTTAACGCTTACGCAAGTTCATATTCGCAAAAAAAAATATTTTGTTAGTGTTCACAACAATCTAGGCTATTTTGAAAGTTCTGAAATTATGTAACGGTATACGATAAAACCGTGGAAGTAGGCCTTTTTGTATCGCACCTTCTTAACATCTTATCCTAATCTTGGGTACGTCATGCTCGTAAGGAACTAGCCGGAACAGACGAATGAGCTGTCCCAAAAAGGCGTATCGCTATCCGGAGAATAAGGTTCTATGGTTAGGGGGGCTGAAAGAGGTGGGTAGGACAATTAAGTAGGAAAGCATTCATGTATTACGCCAACTCTCTCGGGATTTGGGTCTGCAGCACAAGGCTTCACCCTGACCATTTACCAGAACACTAACCTGATCTGGCCAGCACAGCATTTTGCTACAAAAGAATGAACTCTACGTTATTACCCGTTACTATACCAAATATACACCTTCAAGAGTATTATGAATAGAAAAGAGTGAACAAATACTTAGGTTCGTTGAGGTATTCTCTGCGTTGAGAAACGGTGCGAAAGGTTTTCCGCAGGGTTGCTATATGGATTATAAGTTTGCGCCACTCTATGCTTTCTCTGTTTATCTCGTTGCGACTATTCGACGGTCGCACATGGTTCTGCATTCATAATGTGTCTTCTTTGACAGTAGACCCGATCTATTATATGCACGAATATATTGAAATAATAGTGCGTTCTGCATTGCAACAGCTCTTATACACTCAAGAGTATGACCTTTCCTATGTTTATGCTTGCCACGTGACCAGTTTCAGGAAATACCTAAATGATTGAATAAATGAATGAGATTTCTAAGACGCACTTCTGCACTGTGCTGACTGGCGGCGGACGGAAAGGATGCACTAAAGATGAGAACCTATGAACAACTGAGAACAATCGCAAGTCGCAGGATTAATTCTCAACCATGACGGCCGCAATTTCGACGGGCGAGAAAAATTCACAATAATCTAGTACCAATTTCAGGTGCTCGTTAAAGAGCACCTGGTGGTAAAGTTTCCTGAGCTCTCCACTCTGAGGTGTGTCTCAGATTCATATCGTGGTATGGGAGCGTTGTGTGTGTGTGTGTGGGGGGGGGGAATGAACTTAATTTGTAAATAATTATTGTAAGTGAGCAGACCATTCGGGGTACTTCTCTAATCATTACATCAGACATATGGGTGCCTAACTTCTTTAGGTGTTCAACCGAGTGCACCGTATAGAATGCGCTCTTTTGCGCCTCATGCCACCACCGCGGTAGTTTTTAAGCCAAAGTTCATGGAGCCAAAGATGCACGTTTGCATAACTTCTATAGTCTCATCGTGGCGGCTGTTGTCATTGAGACTTGTCGCTTCGTGACCATACAGAGATTACACGTGCTGTCCTTGACGTGTTTTTGCAATCCTTCTTCTTTCCGACATGTTAGCCAGCAACAAATTTTTGTTCAGTATTTTCGTCGGCAAAGTAGAGAGAAACAGCTTTACAAATAGCTGCACCTCTCTTATCCGTACTCGCGTTTTGTTATTCGAAACTACGGAAGCTGTGCGAAAAAAAAGAGACAAGAACAGAGAAAGCTCACGCACAAACGCTTGTGCATGTGCCTTCAGTGTTCTTGTCTTTTTTTTTTGTGCAGTTTCCGTAGTTATAGATTACCAACTATAGCCCAGCATTCAGTCTTTTTTTTTTTGTTCATGTGTGTGAGCGGCGTGGCAGCAAGCGCGCTCTTTGCAGAGCTAATGCTAACAGAACCTCCCAACTAACTCTGCCGCACAAAACACCTAGTAGGACATGGTTGTGGCAGCTTACGAAGGGCTGTAATTTTTTACAAATCAGTTGGTCTAGATCAGTGACATCAAACATGTGGCCCACTTTTGGCATGTGACCCATATCTCCTCAAACAAAGTTTCTTCCAAATATTAGCCACTATATATATACGCCTATTACGAGGAATAGCGCTATGGTTCGGCAAGTTACGGGGACACATATCTGCTGTCACGTTTTTTATTTATCATTTTTCGCCACACACCACAGAGGGTCACTACGAGTTTATGTTTGAAAATCGCACTAAAGAAAAAAGAAAGATTGAGTAAAAAGGGCGTCCTTTTGTCACACAACAATAATCGTAATCTATCTTGAGAGTGACGACCAACTCTTTCGCTAGTGGAGGGGGTCGGGGGCTATCTACCACACTGGTCAGCCGGTATATATATTTGGAGAGAAAGAGAGAGACAACTTCTTCGACGTGTTCACAGTTTCATGTGATTTTTTCATACACACAGCCCTTGTCCAACAGCGTAGAAAAAAGAGCGTCAGTTTAACCAGCATGCACTTGCACCACACGTATATGTTTGTCATGCATGATGCGTGTAATAATATTACACGTGATGCTCTTTATGCATTACCTCCAAACTTTCTGCATGAATATTACTACGTTGATGGCGGCCTCCTCAACAGTAAATATTTCACTACTGAATGAAATAAATAATGACCAGAACAGCTCACAAAGAATTCAGTTTTTAAATGTCAAGCACTCCTTGAAAAACAAAAGGTATCTTTAGCATTTCTATCTACTTATTTTAGCTTCCCACGGAGCTCGAGTCCACTGCTTTGTTCGTCGCCGCTTTTCGAACTGCTTTTATTGCTCCAAGTTGCCTTAAGCGAGGCTAATCAGATATATCGGAGATTAAAGCGCAAACCTTTCTTGGCTCTTCCAGTTAGGCAAAACTAAACTATTTAAAGTGATTAATCGCAATCATTTGCTGACAGCCGCTTCGACAAGGCCGCGCGATGGTAATCATTTTCGACTACAGAATGATTTTTCTCAAGCAGCAAATGCTTTGACCGGTCCATAAAAAGTTCGCCCATTCCCATCCATACTTGCAACGGCTAGTCGCAGCAGAATAAAAACATGAACAAGTGATGTAATATATAGGGCCCCTGTTCAGCGTTAGCCTGCTCTTCAGTGCTACTGCACAGGGCGGAAAGCATCCCTAAGAGCCTTCAAAGAAAATTGTCAATGCTGAAATGCAGGAAAAATATCTCTACATTGTAAATTTGCCTTGTAATATTTTCTTTTTCTCATAACAATATAATTAAGTAATTACAGTAACAAAAAGAATTTGCCTTAGTTGTTTTCCCCAGCATGCAGTCCACTATCGAAAGGGGGATGGGGGGCTCAACCTTTTCAACTTTTCTCGGGGGGGGGGGGGGGGGGGGCCTTGCGCTCCCTTTGCCCCCCACTGGCTGGTACGCCTATGTATCTTAGGTTCCTTTCCTTGCACTATCATCACGTGCATGAGAGTTACAGGTCACGAACGACTAGCGCATTCTCAGTGTCATCCAGCTCCTTGATAGAAGAGTGGCCTGCACCAAGTTTTCAAGAAAGGAAACAGAAGCAAGCCGGATGAGGACTATTGTTGGGGGACAAAGAGACATCCTCTTTAGTAGATTTTCTTTTTCGGCGTCGAGATTTTGTTCATAGGGGAAATCAGAATTGACATGTTTTTCGAAACCTGGCACAAAGATGGAAAGCATATGATCTTAGATGTGGGCCCATGGAAGGTGACGGAGGTTATGAACTCGTATCCCCCAGTTCATTTCTACGCAATCATATTGTTAATTTATCTTGTGAATAAAAGCAGCAGGGGGATCACAAATGTAAACGCTTGGAAGTATGATATCCGTATGTGTGTACGAGTAGTGTAAACTTTTTAATTCATTGTCTCTTGTGCGTTAGCATCTCTAAATAAACATGACACACTTGTTCAGACTATCACATAGTTTGTCATGGTCTGTACTGACATTAACATAGCGTAGCTGGTGAATGATTGGTGCACACGTACGGATGAAAATAATTGATAAACAAGACTTCTTCCATACTGCGTAGGTGTCACCTCTTGTTTCCCAGCTATGCAAGTGCTTACAAGACAGGACAAACCGACGTTCTCGAGATTTAGCGTCTTGCTCTCGGTTGTTCTAGTATCACTCGGTTTCTCACCGTGAACGATGCCGAAGAACACAACGATGAAATTTGTGCTCTCCGCGAAGTAACACAGGCTCACAGCGATACCCGTGAAGAAGGAACAAACGAGCAGCACTTTTCTGCACGAAAAGCGAGAGCATAGCACGCCCGTCAGGGGACCTGCATGAGAAGGGTGCACGTAATTGGGTATTAGTGAGACGGGATTACCTGGTAGTTGCATAAAATGACTGCCATAAATTGGCCCTGAACATCACGGCAGGTACCCGAAAACATACAAGCAAGCCGTCATCGCAACGTATACACTGTGAGACTACAGTCTCTGAAAATTGAGTTTCCGCAGTATTAGAGGTCGGACGACTCACTACCTGTCTCTTAGCAAGTCACAGCAGCACGAAGTTCTTATGATGTGTCTGTAGATGTCCGCACAGTGGTTTCAGCATGAATAAACTATAAGATGATTCATTGGAATGTCAGCAGTACTTGCGGAATTTAAATAAACATAGCAGCCCATTTGCATAAACATATGATGAAAGATTACTGTTTCGTAAGTACTGAAAATATTTGGGAATCTAGCGTACCACGTGCTAAGTATGAAAACATCACACCAGCTTTTTAAATAGGAAACATTTACTTTATTGATCGCTCGAGCACCAAAAGAGTAAAATTGCAGTATATAGGATAGGATGGGGTGAAATGTGACGATAGTTCAAAATAGTAAAATTTCATTTGTATTTCACCATACATAATTAAAAATCAATGTAGAAACTTTCTTTGGTACAAGGTATGTGTTACATTAATATTGCCATGTTAGTATCAATCTAAACAGTATTTTAAAAATAATTGAAGAATGCTTGAGACGCCTCGTTTTACCCCAATCTGCGGGGACAAACTAAACGCTGCGTGGAGAAAAGCGAGACAGAGTGATATATATTCATTTCTTTAGTTTTGTTTTCAGTAGAAAAACTTACAATTCACTCTGTGGGCCCTTAAACAGTCTTTAGGAGCCCAATCCTTGAACTCCACGAATTGAATTTACAGAACTTGGAGGGTGCTGTGTTGCTCATAAACTCCGTGCAGATCAAGCACCACCAGTCTTTCTTGTGCTGATGTTGTCTTTTATTGAATCCTTTGACGTCATTGTATTGTTAGACAATTAGAGGCCATATATGTTTTGACGTATCTTCTCCAGGCTCTTTTTGTCGTTTTAATGCTGAGCTGCTCAAGCTTTTTATGGCTGTTAACTTCGTCAACCATTATTTGTGAGGCTATAAATTTAGAGCTGTGTGAGATTAAGATTTTTCTAGCGCTTCTTTTGCTTATTTAAAGTACTGGAGAAACGTCGTTAAAACGCAATCTCATGACGTGTTTGTGAACAACTTCACTAGGAGATTCTTCTAACTTTATGCGTCTTTGAGGGCATTCTTGAGATTGAGGAAATACCTAAATACAGCATAATAATAGGGAATCATGTATTGAACGGCAATCAGTTTTTTTATGTCGTTTTTCTCCCAGGAGGGCCCAAAAGATCATCTCTTTTACGTACGAACCCTCCTAAAGAAGAGTTATGGTATATATTAAAAGTAAGTTGACGATTCAAGACACTCTCTTAAGGCGACCGGATGCTTTTTTTGTAGCGTTTTTCTCTATCGCATGCCAGAATGCAAAAACGTTTCCGCTTTGTCTCCGGGCACCAAACGAACTAAACTTTTATTGTTATGTAGCTCGTAGTCTACAGTAACCAAATAAGTATTTACGTTGCTGTACAAGCGCAGGAGTAGCTTCATGCGAAAATTGGGAAATTCGGCCGAGCGGAATTCTACCCATTTTTCACCCGTTCCGAACACATTGGCCCCAGCCGCGTAATTTTTTTTTTGCGCGAACGCTATGAGCAATCATCAACTTTTGCACATAAAAAGGTAGACAAGGACAAGTACTTATTGAGCATTAGGACAAGCACCGAGTTTTTGTGTTAGCTACAGAGGCCAGCAAAGTCAAAATATCGCTTCTTGCTACTTACACTACTCTATAAAAAGAAAACATGTAGTTTAGGAAATGTTAAAGAAACCTAAGCAATCAGTTGTGGCATATAAAGAAAGATTCACAACGAGCAAAGCATGCTACCAAAATGAAGCAAATAAAAAAGGAAGAACTCAAACAGGATTGAAGAAGATATTAGCAGCTTAAACCAATTATCTCTAAACATATCATAACGCAGCGCCAAGGTGTCGTCGTACTAACAGGATGCTTTGCCTTTGTTCTTAACGCGTAAAAACTTGCACTATGTTAAAGATTAAGGACTGCCCCGCCGCGGTGGTCTAGTGGCTAAGGTACTCGGCTTCTGACCCGCAAGTCGCGGGTTCGATTCCCGGCAATTAGACTGTAGAAGCGAAGGACACTAGCGCTGTGAACTAAAATTCTCTCGCAAGAAAAATAATTGTAGGCACATGATAATTTGCTAGCGTAACCTTGAACCTTTGTCACGGAACGGAAATGTCTTCAGTGGTATTCTTTGTTCACTAGCGGGATCTAAATGCAAATATTCTTTAATCTCTGTAATAGGATTCAGAAATCATTATGGCACGCTGATCGACATGTCCGTGCTTTTTTTTGACCAATCGTTTTATTTTAACTCGACCCACAGAGATACAGGTTTGTGTGGACAGAATTTAATTCACAAATAATAAATATCAAACAAAAATGCCATTTCTGCTGTACAATAATATTGCAGACTACCGAATAAAAGTAGTCAGTAAGACAAGTGTCCAATGTAAAGTTTGAAGAATAAAAATAAAGAAATGAAAAAGACATGTAGAGAGCGCCATCCCATTGCCAACCACATCAATTGGAACGAGCGAAGACTCAGCTACATATTGCCACGTTCCATTTCCCAAGTTTTCGTTATCGTCCCAAAACACCACACGATTCTCAGCGCAAACCGCGCCTGCAGTTTTCCAGAAGGTTCCGGACTGTAGTAGATCATTTCGATAAGATCACGCCCACTGCGCGAACGGTACAGATTGTTCTGGAACCTACGCCACCGCCAGCGATAACGCTAGAACATTCGATGGCAAGAGTATAAATGCCGACGCGCTTCGCCACTTGTCAGTAGTTGTTGATCGAAGGCCGACGCTCTGTTCGCCGCTATCAGTCCGAGACTGCTATCTGTGCGAGACTGCTGCTGTAATTGGACTTTCCTTTTACCGGGCACAGGTTCGCCCAAATAAACAGTTAAATCCCAACATGAAGTCTCCTGTCTTCGGCCACGTCACGACCCCGTGACATCTGGTGGAGGTGCTGCTTCGTTCATGTACCGGATAACCCCGTCAAGCCGTGAACCCAGCCCACGTCGCGGAGAAGATACCGACGCCAACCAGGAGCAGCGAACAAGCCGCCGACAGCAAGGGCTACCATCGGAGTACGGGCTTCTGCAAGACAAGGCGCGGAAGACCAAGGCCATGACCGCGACTGCAGCGACAATGACAACCGCAGCGTCCCAGCCCACGATGGTCATGCATAAACCCCGGGAACCACCAATTTTCCATGGGTCATCGTTCGAAGACCCGGAGTCCTGGCTAGAAACATACGACCGTGTGGCCGCCCTCAACCACTGGGACCATGACGAAAAGCTGCGTCGTGTGTACTTCTATTTGGAAGACACCGCAAGGACCTGGCTCGAAAATCGGGAGTCCATGCTCCGAACGTTGGATGTTTTCTGCGGCGCATTCCTGCAAACGTTCGCGAGCGTCGCTCGCAAAGAGAGGGCCGCTGCTTTATTAGAGACCCGGGTTCAGCTACCAAATGAAAATGTCGCCATTTTCACAGAAGAAATGACCCGACTATTCGGTCACGCTGACCCAGACATGCCTGAGGAGAAAAAAGTTCGTTTCCTCATGCGAGGGGTCTAACAAGAGCTCTTTGCGGGACTGATGAGAAATCCACCGAAAACCGTCCAAGAATTTGTAGCCGAAGCGACCACCATCGAAAAAACCCTGGACATGAGCACCAGACAGTATAATCGTCGCCTGACTCCAGAATGCGCTGCTGCCCAAGCCAGTGACTCCGACAACCTGCGTGAAACGATCCGAGCGATCATGTGGGAAGAGCTGCGCAAACTGTTGCCTTCGGCGCAACCTCAAGTGGATTCGATCGCCGACATTGTGCGAGAAGAAGTTCGGCAATCGCTTCGATTTCCGCAAACACCACTGCACGAGCCAGAAACTATGAGCTACGCCACTGCACTGCGCCACAACGCTCCTCCCCGTCCACGCCGAAACGCCGCCCCGTCGCACTTCCGTCGCCAGACACCACCGCCGCCATCACCCCCACCGACGACCTACCGTTCGCCAGCGGGCCAGCGCAGTGCGCCGAGGAAAACCGACGTCTGGCGCACCCCTGACCACCGCCCACTGTGCTACCACTGCGGCGAGGCCGGGCACACTTACCGCCGTTGCCAGTACCGACAGATGGGACTGCGTGGCTTCACCGTCGATGCACCACGTCCGCAGCCGGGGGAACGGCCACGTGACATCGCCGACTACCTGACAGAAACTCAATGGAGACCACGAAGTCCTTCCCGTTCGCCGTCGGCCAGCCGCCGCATGTCACTGCACCCCCGGCAGTACTCCGGCCCAACGCGGGGCCGGTCTCCTAGCCCGTATTCGGGAAACTAAGGGCAGCAACCGGTGGAGGTGCGGTTGCTGTGCGACGAACTACCGAAGATCCTCCGATGACGACGCCGCCGCGACGGAGCTTTCCGAACAGAACGCCTACCAGGCAAAGCCCTGATGGCGAAAGCTCACTTACCGAAGGTGGCCTGACGACGCAACATGGAAGCAGCGGAACAAGCCGACGCAGCCGTGACCCGACGCCACGCCCTAACTGTAATGCGAGACGGCGAACTAGCGACCTCGATGTTCTTATCGACGGCCACAGTGTGACTGCTCTCGTCGATACTGGAGCTGACTATTCTGTCATCAGTGGGTCGTTTGCCGCGAAGTTAAAGAAAGTTAGGACAGCTTGGAAAGGCCCTGAAATCCGCACAGCTGGAGGTCATCTCGTAACGCCTGCAGGAATCTGCACAGCGAGAGTCACCATTATTGGCCGTATTTATCCTACAGACTTCGTAGGCCTACAGCGTTGCTCGAGAGATGTCATCCTTG